AGTCTTGACGATGACGATACTGATGGCAACGCATCTATCGGCGAAGGACTGAAGTTATTCGGAGGTAAATTGGGAGAAGTGAAGAAAACAACTGGTTTGGTTTCAATGGCTATTTCTGATAAAGATAAACTGCGCTTGGATGAGGTACCGAATGATCCGAAAAAATCAACCGCTAATGTTGCTGACACAGTCAGTGCTCTCAAGAGCCCAGCATTGATAGAATCAGCAACGAACGTGAAGGCAAAAGAATCGAAAACCCCACCAAGGAAAGATTCAGACGGGAGCTCGTCTGAGACAACAAGGTTAATGTTGTAGATGTTGCTCACTTCAACTTTGCTTTTTCTTGAAGACTGTTCATATCTGGTATTAGAGCCGTGATTATATGATCAAAAAAGTGATCAATTTGCCTTGAAACATGATTTTGTTCAGAAATTTTGTGTTGTTAAATCTTGATCTCGCACTTGTTCAATATGCATTCAGTTAGTTCAGTGCCTACAGTACCTCTCTACTGAGCGCTAGAATTGTTGATATCTCACGATAAGCAGAAATAATGAACATCAATTGGAATTTTCCACTGAACTTACAAAACAGATCGAAAATTCCAGATTTGTCTTCTTCAAACAAGCCCAGATTGAATTGGCAATTCAAAGTTCGCTTAGCATGACTGGGATTCGTTGAAAATTTCAGTTCGAGTAGTACGACAAGTGACAGTAAAAGTCAAAGCGTTTCACCAAATATTATTCGAAACCCGTCGATGTCGTTGCCCCCACTCAAGAGCACCACATCACTAAACACAACGAATCTTCCGTCAATCCCGACCAAATCGCTGAATCCCATCGCATCATCTGACCCAAACGCTTTCTCGAAACGTCTCAACGCCTTTCTCAAAGTGCATTCAAAGTCTGAGGAGGACAGTGCCGGTAACGTTGCTATCCAAATCACTTTCGTAATGTTCTCCTTGTGGATGTACATGTCTTTCTTCAATGTCTCATTTTTCTTCACATCGCGCATCAATTTTTCCACACCCCTCCCAATACGATAAATGTTGAATTTCGATAGCGAATCACAGCTAACGTTTAGCATTTTATGAAACGACACGTCAGAGGTCAATATCAAAACTCACCACCATCAGCTGATATTAATCAGCCTAGTGTGTTGAGCGGGGAAGGGGGAAATTCAGCGACCCCTACAGTCCTCTCTCCCAACATTTAAAAGTGCGGATGCATTTAGGATCTGAGACGTTTTTTGCTTTAGCTTACAAGTTAAGATCATGATAATGCTATTTCAGATGAAGTAGAAGAGGAAGAAATCGAAGAGGAAATCAACGTTGACGAGTTACTGCAGTCGAATGGTGAAGATGACAACGACAGTATTTCATTTTAAAGGTTATCGCAAATAAAGTCAAAGTCACATTTTGATTTGAAAATCCCTCTTAATCTGTACACTAACATTATATAACAATGTCACGCAATAAACGAAACTTTGCTTGATCTGTGTGTGTGTGTA